CCAAGACCTGCTCCTGTTAAAAGCTGGGAGTTTGCAACCTTCCCTGGTTCATCTAGGTCTTGGGAAATTTTTAGGACTGCAGGAATGGGCAAAATGCAAACAGGAGGGCAAAGAAGAAGGAGGAGGGGGAAAGAGCCCACGAGTCAGGCTCTTCTCACATGGTAAATGGAAACTGAGTCCCCACCACCTGCAGTAGCAACCCCCTCTTGTGATCTCTCTGGTGCCAGGGAATGCAGTGCTGTGCTGAGAGCCTGACCCAGGTCTGGCACATCCTGATCACTCAGGAGCATTGCTCTCTTGCCAGACTGAGTCTGCAGGCAAATGCAGCAGCACCCCAGAACTCTGCTCACAGAGCCAGCTCCCCTCCATGTAGTTCACGAGGGCTAGGGATCCCAGAAGAACTGGGTGAAGCACTTCTCACCTGGCTAAATAAGTGTCCAATCCGGGAGGTTTCCAGGTTACTTTGGTCCCAGGGAGTCATCAGAGGTCTGTCGTTTCCTTGCTCTGATCACCTGTGGTGCTTTGGACCTGACATGTCACAGCAAGGACTTCTCCCCGTGCAGGATCTCTGCAGGGTTCCAGGCAGGAAGCACAACCTGTGCCTCTCCCTCAGGGGCAGGTTGATTAGGGCTGAGCATGGCAGAAGTGCTTGGTCTGTCAAACCTCTCTATCAAAGCCTCTTGGAAGAGATACGAATCCCAAGAGTGGAGCCATCTAGAAAGACCACAGGAAATGAGGAGGAGGAGTGGGAGAATGCTTGTGGGAGGAAGAGCAATGCACAAGGATGGGCCATCTGCAGCTGACATGGCTAGATGTTATAGCTGGGAGCAGCTCATCTGCAGCAGTTGTGACCTGCTGCCATCAGTGGCACTGACCTTCAGACATGCCTTCCTGATGCCCCAGCTGCAGAGCAGGTCCTCCCTGCAGGTCGCCTTTGGGATGGGTGGCTGCTGAAGGCAGGCGTGATGAGTGGTGCCTTGGTGTGCATGGCTGAGACCCAGCAACGCCCCAAAAGGTGCTGGGTTTACAGATGGTTGGTTGCAGAGTCCTCCTGCAGCAACTGCCCCCATCCTCTACTCTGCTCCTGCCGGAGTCCAACACCCTGCTGCTGCACTCGGGCCAGGGAGAGACAACTTCAAGGATCTCTGTGGCCTGATCCTGAAAAAACGCTGGGATGACCTGTGTCTTTAAGTGCATACTTGAAAATAAAGCGGTTCCTAGCTGTAAAGCTGCCTTGTGTTGCCTTACTGGTTTGGTTGTAGAACATCACATGTGACACTGGGGAGCACTGCCAGGCCTTAGTTCTGCTGCCTGGACAAGAGGTCTCATGCCATGTACTAGTGTGACAAGAGGGCCCCTGGCTCATCCTGCCTTTTGCCAGGGACAAGGTGAATGGGTCATAGGGTGACCGACCTCCAGGTGAGGCAAGGAGGACCCAGCTGTAAAGGAGGGTTTAGAGGCCGGTCAGCACTGAGTCCTTGCACACAGGAATGACTTCCTGCTGCGTTTCTCACTGAAGCCAGCGCTCATTCTCAACAGCACTGCCTGGTAGTGGTGGCCAGAAGGCACTCCTTCCAAAAAAATCCCTCTGAGAAAAGCTGCCTCTGGTCGAAAGCACTCAGTCACGTTGCAGAAACAAATGGCCTGGGCAGGATGCATGGCTCAAGGCACTAACTCTTCTTTGAGCTTCGGAACAAACCCCTGGAACTATTAAACTCCTCACTCTCTCACAACTCACCTGTATCCCGGCCTCAGAAACACCAACACACCATACAAACACTGCTGATATATTAGCTACAGGGAGACTATTTAGCTATTCAGGCTGTAGTTAAGAACACGTCTTGGCTTTTTATCCATTTTCCACCTAAGGTACCTGATATTCACAGTGATTCTTCCCCCAGCATATACCCTGCAAGGAACCTGCCACACAGACACACTGTGCTGAAGAGGAGTTGGCTGAGTCCAGCACTGCCCTGGGACAGGAGGGGAGCAGAGAGCTGCTGTCTGCCCTAAGCCCTGGGCAGGCATCAGGCCAGGATAAGCCAGGACCAAAGCTGAAAGGAACACCCAGTCCCAAAGCAGGGAGCCAGGCCAACTCCAAGTCTGTGTTGGTAGAAGCCCAGAGTCCAGATTGCTCCCTCTCACCTCTGTGGCAACTCTTGCTGAAACCAGGGGATTTCAGCTTGCAACTCTGAGTCTCAGCCTGGCATGCGAGAATCTTCTAATGCAAACAGTGAGCCACCATGGGAATGACCCACTGGCCTGAAGAAGGCCCTGCCAAATAAAAGGGATGGAATAAGCATCAGCCCAGGATGGGAGGCACGTTTTCTTCCCCATCTTCTCAAGAAGCAGGTTGCATTTGCCTGAGGGAGTGCCTCCAAAACCTTTTTTCCAAGCTGCAGGAACATGAATTACAGGCTAAATCACAAACTCCCCCAGGACAGAGTGATGTGGAGTGATTTAAGTCCTACCTCTTTCACCAATATATCCAAGCAGATGGAGTGGCTCAGGGCCAGCCCTGCCCAAAGCCTGTGCACAACCCACAGCTGTCACCCATCTCAGGTCACCTGGAACACCAACAGGAGACAGAGATAACAACCCTCAGCTGGCCTCAGTTCCATGCCCTGGAGCTCTAGGAAATGCAGAGCTAATACAACAATTTGGAATATGAATATGTTTTGAATGTTTGAATGTGTTTTATTTGTCTGTACACATGTACGAAGATCTGGTTACACACTGACACTTCCCATCTGAAGGTGTCAAATGGTTGGAGGGTGAATTTCCACTAGAGCTGGCTGCTAAAATCACTGCTATCCCTGTCTCATACAAGAACCTGCAACACAAACCATGGCTACCCTGAGACCTGGCTGGCTCTGCTGAAAGGCTGAGGGGCAGAGCTGCCTGAAGAGGCTCTGTTTCTACACAGAAGGTTTAAAGTCAACTTTCTGTTTCTGCAACAAATTAGGAAATGAGACAGAAAATTGGAAGTCTAAAATTTGCAGCCCAAACCCAGAGACTGGACCCAGTTTTGTGAGAAATCTCTCTCTCGGGCCAGACGCATCTCTTTCAGTATGAGAGGAGGACCAGAAAGGATTCCTTGCATTACATGGGAAAATATTTTCAGAACAGATCCTAAAAACAGCCAATCTTAGCAGCAGGGAAAGGGAACTCTCAAGACAAGCCTATGCTAACAAATTTGCAGTAGATGTCTAATCCTAAGGAAGCTGCCCTCCGTATTGGCTTCCTCAGAAGCGTGGTAAAGAGAATTAACTTTGCAGGGTGCAACACGGCATTGCCTTTCAGCTCAAACCTGTATAACTGTGCACATTTCAGTACATCACTGCACCCACATATGGGTTGCCCTTGTTACTGCAAAAACATGGTGGTTTATTTACCTGTAAACTTTTGTCCTCTCCTGACATGAGATTTCAAGTTCTGAGCTCTGCTGCTGGGGATGTGCCTGCAGTGTGAAGATTCCATCATAAGGGTCAGAGACACGGAGGGATGAAAAAGCTTTTTTTTTTTTTCTCCCAAATAATTCCTGTGCATTCCTTCCTTCAGCACAATGGAGGGGTTGGACCTGACACTAGATTTCAGGCGGAGAAGCAAAGTACTTTGCTGACGTAGGAAAAGAGAAGGGCAGGAGAACGGCCTGGGCTCATCTGCCTTGATGAACACCCACTGAAGTGAACTCTTCTAATCAAACACTGATTTCTGCTCCTGTGAAGATAAATTGTGAGGACACAGAAGAACTAAAAGAAAACAGACAATACGCTCTACAAACTCCAGCTATTTTGCTCTAACCTCAGTGTGCTGTTGCTCATGCCATCAGACTAACCTACTGAACCTGTTAGTTTACCAAATTCTTCTGTTATCAGCAGACTAACAAAGCCTGGTTACCTATAAACTTGTGCTGAAGCCCCAACACTACCACTACCCTACACTAATGCCCAGCTCCTACCATATTGCTTGTGGTCACCTGGCCCTTGCATACATTTTCTTTAATCCTCACCAGGGAAATGGAAGATCTTGAGATATTCTCCTAACCCCTCTCCCTTTCTGCCAGCAGTGCAGAGGGTAAAATGAGGGTCATGACACAAGGAATAAAAAAAAAAAAAACATAATAAAAAGATGCAACAAGAGAGTTAATTGGAAGGAGAATTTTGTATCCATCAAGTTCTATGGATTTCTGGATTTGGGCATTTGATCCTGGGTTCCCATGGATGGAAATAAGACAGGCATGTACAGAAACTAAAGGGAGCAATGTTGGCTAAACTTCTGGCCTGTTTAAGTGCCCAGAAGTACCAGTATATTTTAAGGACTGATTTTGTATAGATTTAATTACAATGCAGTCCTGCTTGGCTGCTCTCAGGACATTCAAGCATGGCCCATTTTAGTTTAGTTTAGTAACAGTTCCCATTGACATAGCTGAAATACTGACAGTGATTGCCTTGTTACCCTGAAGGCAGTACTGAAGGTGGTATTTGAGAACCCCTTCACCAGTTCCCTTGTTTTAACTTTACTCCTTTAGCGCTGCTCTTTGTAGAGACAAGCCCTTGATTTAGTAAGGGGTATATTTATGATAAATAAATTCAAGCCAGATTTAAAATCAATTTAAATGTGCTCCCAAAGCGGTTTTCCATCCAGATTTATTAAGCCAACAAGTCTGTCTGGATGTTGTGAAATGCAGGGAAATCAAGCACACAATGCTCACTGGAGCGCAACTTTTGGCACTGTGGTGCATGAGGGCCTGTTCTAAGACAATTATGGAAATAACAGCATTCCCCATTACTGTAATTCTGATTATGGATAAACTGCTCATACTTTGAGAGGCACAAGATTAGCAATCCAGGTTTAATTTTTAAGTTTAATGAACATTATATACCAACTCCTGAATTCGGACTGGCAAGCACTTTTCAGATGGCAGGCTGTTAGCTCCTGACCTGCATGCTGTCCAAAGCTTGCGTTCCAAGATGCCTCCTGGTCCTGCTACTGAAGAGTCAGAAGTCATTATCACTTTCCTCTAGTGGCTCTGGCTTCCTCGCCCGGCGATTGGATTTGCCTGCAGAAATTTCCATGCTATCATCTTCCACATCTTCATCATCATCGTCATCATCATCATCCAGGTCAATTTCACTGTCATCCGAGTCCTCCTGCAGGAGAGAGAGCAGAGGATTTGCAGCTAGTTTGGTTCTCAGAGCTATATGCTACCAACAGATAAAGCTCTCCATTCACAAAGCATCTTTGCCAGCTCAAAAGTAGAGAATGCTACTTCTGGCCAACGTTAAGTTGCTTCATGCCCTGCACATGGCACGACCACACAGTCAGGGCAGGCACTGGACAGGAATCTAGGTTTGGGCTTGCTCCAGCAAGCAACAGGCCCTACAAAAGAGTTTGCTTAAGCCTGTAGCTCAGGCTGCTGCGGTGCTGCTGGCCACCAAAAGGCGTGAAAGGCTGAGCTCAAGACCCATCTTCAGCTTTCAGCTGCAGTCCCTCACTTTACTAGCAGTGGCTAGCAGCGGTTCATTCAACCTCTTGCACACCTCCTTCCACACTGCGCAAGGCTGGTAACAACAGCCCCCCTCATCTCGGCTAAATCTGTGGTACTAAAAGCTTTAAAGGCTTTTAAGCTAAAGCAAGACCTAATGTGAGATCAAGAGACTAGTGGAAAAAGACAACTGCAGGATTAAAACCTACCTGTGCCCTGGTCTTGTGCATGCCTGGCTGAGCTGGGGCAGATCCCCCCTTGGAGAGTCAGAGTGGAAAGGAGAGGCAGACCAGAAAAAAAATATACGTACAAGAACATAAAAGAAAACAGAGAGCAGCCAGAACGACAACAGAAGAGAAGGCAGCAGGGAAAGCAGGTGTAGCTGAGGTGCCGTGTGCCATACTTGAGAACCATTACACTGTTTTCCAGCAAAGACATAGGAAATTAGAATGGGGAAGACTCAGCATAAGCTACAGAGGAAGAGCAGCTCCCCGAGAGGAGGCCTGAAGGTGTCCCTGCCCAAAACACATCCTCCAGGAAAGCAACTGCCTGGAGCTGGGGACATGAGTGTATAAAAAGTTGGGAGAGCTGCAGGGCTCTGCCTCCCTGCCTGGGGCTGCAGTCACCTTCAGTTCCAGGGCTCACTTTGCCTTCTTGGCAACTCCTGGACTCCAGCGCAATGCTAAGGTCAGCGCTGGAAGGCAGGGATGCCCTGAGCTGGGCACTCTGCAACTGCAAGGGATGCCCTCGTGCTCCACAGACAGGGAAGGCTCTCTCACAGGGGAAGGCAGGGATGCCCTGAGCTGGGCAGGACACCCAGGACTCAGGGCAGGACTGGCCCAGGTCAAAGTCCCACCATCCATGGGGAGAGCAGGAAGGTACAAGAGCCACACTAGTAAGGAACCAACAGAGACCCAGCACACAGCTGGTGGCTCTTGGGGACTTCTCAACTCCCTAGTCTGATTAACTCTTCGAGGGGTTCAAAGCAGCCTCACAAGTTTCCATCTCTAGCCTCAGACACATGGGAGCCTGTCACTGTCCCTAACAAGCCTCTCAGCCCTGAGGCCTGCTAAGATGCTGCATTAAGAGGTCAGGGCCATGAGACGACCAAGGTAGCTGCAGCTGAGGGCACTGAGAGGCAGAAGGCCTTGGCTTTCCACACCTGGGTGTGCTGGGGCTGGGCCAACAGGAAGACATGGGAGAAGGTCACAAACAGGATGCGATTAAAAACAAATGGAAAGTCCAACAGAAAGAGAGATTGCAGAGGAAAACACATGGGACAGAATAGGGACAGGATGAGTACAGCCAGAACTGGCAAGAACATGGTCAAAGATAGTTGATGAGAGCAGCATCTCCTTGGCTCTGCCCAGCAGGCCAGTCCTACTCCCACTGACCTGTTCAGTGATCTTCAAGAAACTTAAACCCAGACACAGCTTCTGCCAAAGGTCTAAACACTAACGTGAGTCCCAAGGAACATCAGCGCCTGTGTGCAGAGCAGAGGGCTTCCCTTGTGGACTCCTACGCCCTTCTACAGCTTTCTAAATTCCAAGGGGCTGCCTTAGAAGCACACCAGGGAAGTTCACGGGGACAGGAAAAAATAGGGTCACAACACATTTGCTTACAGCACTGGCAGCTCCCATCCCTGCTGCAGCACAGCACAGATGGCAGCACTCCTGTGGCACACGGATCACTACTTACACACTGCAAGCTGAGGTTAAAACATAGGCCAATGCCCAGAAAGCAAAATAAAAATGCAGAAGTATCTGTGTATGCAGATGGCTAAGGAAAGGAAGGGAGGAGCAGGCCTGTGGCATGAAGATTCAGCAGGTAAGAAGCTGCTTCTCTAGCTGAGGAGAGGGGGTTACACGTAAAGCACCCTCAGAGAAGCTCTGCCGTCACGTGGGACGGTTACTCACGTCCTCCTCCGTGTCGCCGCCGTGCATCGTTCCCACGATCCGCTTCCCAGACCTTCCTGCAAAGCAAATAAGATCGCCATAAAGACTGGCTCATGGTTAAGAGAGGGGCAGAATGAAATATAAAGCTCAGGACTTCCCTTTTAGAGAGACAGTGAAAGGTTAATATCTCAGGGCATGTAAGGTCATCCCATTTGTTAAGCCACAGAGCTCAGGAGAAGGTAGAAGAGGGAAAGGCTGAGATATCAGAGTAATTCCAGTCAAAATCATGTTTCCACAGCTACCTTACGCCACTACGACAGTTCTGTAGGCCAGGGCACATAATTGTTTTAAGAACAAGCATTTGCTTGTCTTGCATAAGGAACCTGATAACGCTTGGTTTTTTTTCCCCCCCTGTGAGATAAACCTTCAAGCAGGAAGAATTCCTGCCCATGGCTCTCAATCTATTTAGCTTACTGGAAATTTGTCTGAGACATAAATGCTGAGAGAAACTGAAAAGATTGTGGTGGTACAGGAATTCGTCTGGAGAAAATCCTAGGGCATACAAGCTCTTAAATTGCTGTAAGAAGGGCACAAAAAGCTGGGGCTGGAAGCTGAAGTCAAATGAATTTCAGTCCGAAACACAGCAGTGATTTCTCACCATAGAGGTGATCAATCATTGAACTGGACACTACAGGCAGTGTCAGGGTCTCCATTTTTTGCTTTCTTCAAATCCTAACAAATCATTTGTTCATCAATAACAGGGTAAAAATTAGTGACTTGTGGTACACAGGATATCAGATCTAAGCAATTCTTCTGGCTTCAAATTCCAGGAAAAAAATCACAAGTGGGACTTGGCATAAAACTCTTCCAGAAAAAGCCAGTTGATTACTTGCCATTAATAGCAAGCTACAAGAAAGCTCCTTAACACACGCCTTAAGAAGCATGAAGTGAAACAGGGTTTATGCTTTTAGTCAGCACTCTGTTATGCAGGACAAAGATTATCATACACTGAATGTCCAGCAAGAAAACAGTACCTCTGGCTGAAGTTTGGGAAAAACAACAGGGAAGCTCCTAAGTACTCTCTTCCACCTTCCTCACAAGTCTCATTCAGTACATGACTCATTCCCAAAATGCCTCCTCTAAAAATCTATGTACTCAGGGCAGAAAATATGAAATGGAACCACGTATACAACCGTTGTAAGGAATTCCATGCAAACCTCTACTTGCTTCCCATCTGCCCAGGTAAAGCTAAGGACTTCAGAATAGGTCAGTCTGTGCAAATCTGTCGAATTCACCTGAATCTGAGGACAGGGCAAAATAAATAAAAGAACTGTCCTGGGTCTGGCTGCAGAGAAATCAATCACAAGGGCTGCTGTGGCTCCTGTATACATGCGCATGCCATTCCTCGGGATTTCAGGGGTAGGATAATTAAGCTGATATATTCCTTCCTATCCTTTGGTGCTCAGAGAACAAAAATCTTTCTTTACCATGGGGTCACTTCCTTAAAGATCCACCTCCCACCCAATATTCTGATCTTTTGAGACCTTCTAGCAAGGATGACTCTCTCACAGGAACCCTGGGCAGCACCAAGGCAGGCGGAGTTCTCATCAGTGGGAGGAGGGTTGGAAGAAATTCACTGCAAAGGGAAAAAACACTTGTGCCTTGCTTTGCTACCTTGGGATATATAACGGCCATCTGAAGTGGAAAAGATGCCAGTGTGGCACCTTCCTTTGCTGTTTGCTGGAAGGGGTGGGAATGGGTGGACTGGAACTGAGGGAGAAATTCTGTAATTTTGCTATGTAAAAGTCTCAGCATCAAATCCTAGATGGGGAATTATTACTTCACAAGAGAAAGCAGTAGAGAGCTCTTCTCTCTGAAATCTACTAACAAGAGAAAGACAAGATATATCCCAAACACAAAAGAGGATCAGGAGACCAGAGAAGCCGATGTGATGAAATAGGACAGTGCAAAATCACCAAGGGAAGAGTTATGAGAATGTCAGCAGAAGACCTGCTAGATAGTGGCAGGCCATCAATGTAAAGAGTAAAGACATCTTGTGAGCACCCACTGACTGCTGCAGCTGGAGAAGGAGAATCAAACACTGCCTTGACTTTGCTCCTTACACTGGTATAAACCAGGGGCGCTAGCATCAGTACTAGGTCTTGCAGCACAACCCTGGGACACTCACAGGGGACACTAGGGAATGTGGAGGACCTGGAACTTCAGGTGTGCAATATGCTGTAGCCTATGCAGGAGAGAAAGCAGATTTTCCACATTAATAGCAGATCTTCTGTGTCAAAGGTGGGAGGCATGTTTTACTTTTCAGATATTGCAAAAACAAGTCTCTCTGTGGGAGAGCAAGAGACATGACAGATAGTCAGAGCACATTTGTGTACTGGAGGTGAAGCAGGAAAGAGAAAAGTTGTTGGCACTGAACAGGGAGAGGCAGCAGGTATGGGAGGGTGATTCGATTTCCCTGGGCTCCGCCGCTTGCTGCAACTCGAGTGCTGCCCTGCTCTGGGCACGGGGCTTGCACAGCTTCCAAGTGCACAGAAGCTGCTTATGCCTGTTTGCAGACAATGCGAATTCCAGGCGGACAGCCTGTACAGAGGGATAATTAAGTAAAATGCTAGTAATGAGCAGCTGTAATTCACTGCACCTTTGGATTCAAATCCAATCTCCATGCATTGCCATGGTTTATAGCCACTGGAGCCACCAAAGACCAGAAGCAAATGCATATCCAAGACTTCAAGCCCGTGAGCATTTGTGATTTTTCTCTCTGCATGTGATGCTTGGTATTGTACTAATCTGTGCAGCTGCCTACACTGGATCTACAAGATACGCATATATGTATATACATGGATGTATATGATATATATCCATATACAAGATATGGATGCTTTGCATGTTTCTACTCAGCAGACGGTGTATGTTAATGCTGTGCCTGGCAACAAGACACTACCCTTAGCCAAAAGGGTCGAAGAACCTACCATGCCAGGGCAGGTGGGCTTGCAGATGAAACACTGCTCTCACTGGGAGACCTGTATTCAGTCTTGAGCCCTTAATGCAAATTCCCAGTGTGAGCCGAGCTGGGAATTCACATACAGAAAACAGGGCTAAGTCTTTTGCCTGATCTCTCTCATCTTCCTGTCCTTTGGGGACTGCTTTCTGATGCAGAAGTGTTTGTATCCCTTGGCACAAGGCCCTGACAGCAGTTTTCTAGACCCTGCCAAAGCACAACAGTTAAGTCCACTACAGGTGTTGCTCAGGATAAGCATCTAGCTATTCTTATAACCTCCCCAAAAAGGAAACTTGCCTGGGAGCTAGTTGCCAGTCTCAAGCCCACCATTTCTGACCTACAGCATCTCCTTCTCCTCCAATATTGCAGCTGCCATAAGAGGGGCTGAAGGCATATGGAAAATCCATTTCTCTCCACCTGTGAGGCCAACTTTGCTGACACATCATGTGCACCTAAACATAGCTCTGTTAGGAGGAAATAAACAGACTGATGGAGGGAGCTCTATTTACAGTTAAGGCAAAATAATTTCTGTGGCTTCTAAATGGCAGCCCTTTTTCTGGTATCTGAACCCTTACTATGTGCTGAATGTTTCCAAAAAGGTTTGACTGCTGCCCTTTCCCCAGCCACACAGTCCCGGTAATGTCCAACAGCAGTATCACTAAAGCAAGGATCTTTCAGACTCTTACTTGGGGGACAGAAATCAGCAGATTCACATATAAGTACAGCAAAATCAGAACAGCAGTGCCAAGTTTCTTCTTCCTCAGATGTGTTTCTTACTTTAAGCACTGAGCAGTCAAATCCAGTGGCTCAGGAAGTCCCTATAGTTTTGACTACTTTTCCTTCCTGCTTGAACTGAAGAGGCAAGGAAGAAGAGACTCCAAATCTGACTCTCTGACAATCTGACTCTCCAAAATGTTTCTATGGGGTTTGCAATTAGAACTTGCTTTGCTTTACTACAGAAATACATTCACCCCAGAAGCACGGTCACAAGGAGCTGCTGTATGCCATGCAGACAAAGTCCTAATCAGTTTAGAACTGCACTCTGATGTTCACAAAGGAGGAATTTGTTTTTAAAAGTTCATGGAGATCAATACCAGCTTGGTAAAGTCCTGCAAGGCTGTGAGCTTTTTTGAGAGCAGGTGCGTTTAGAAAATTGTTCTCCTTGACTTCCTACGTTATTAAACAGCTGGAGAAGTGAAAATACTGCTAATACATAGCCAAACACCCTCCTGCATGACGCACTCTTTACGCCTCTCTAGTCCTCTTCCTCTGACACCATCGTGATAAGAGCAAAACCCAAATCTGCTCATGGCCTCACTTGCACAGACTTTGGATCAAGCCCTATCTGTCAAGGCATGCAGTGGGAGGCTCATGAAGAACCACCAGGAAGAGAGCAATAGTATGACCAGACTGAAGGATTTATTGCGCTTCTAGTGTTGTGCATCTACTGTTAAGTGCCAGGAAATCTGATGGGGATTTTCAAAGCTCCCAAGCACAGTAATTGCAAACTCTACATGGAAGGGAAAGGTATGAAGTGTAATAAGCTCAGCAGAGCCTAAGTCAAGGTCGTTATTCATACTGGCCTTGCTGCAGTCTCTCTGGCACCACAAAAAGGCTATAGCTCTCCTTATAGATATCTTCTCTGCAGACATCAAAGTCTCTGCAGATGCAAGTCTCCAAAGGTGTGAGGTGCAGGCACCTGCAAGCCCAGCTGAGTATGAGCTGCACATCCCTCTGTGAAATACAGCTCTAGCAGGACTAGACATGTGCACAGGCCCGGGAAGAGCCTACAGTGCAGGAACAGCTGGAATTGGCAACTGGCCCGTGACTGGGTTTTGTTGTTGCATATTTGGTTTTACTTCCTCCAGGGAGATACATTTTCCTTTCCTAACAAAATCTTTCCATCTCCTCATCTGCTGCATCCAGACATTTTCATTCTTGCTATGTTTAACCGTGCAGATCTTCACAGGCTAAGATTTTATCCAAGTAAACTTGCTAACCTGTTTGCCAACACATCACATTGCAGTGATCCCCTGGGTGCAGTTCTGGAAAGGTAAA